CGGGAAGAACAAGTTTACACCAAGAAGGGAAGTGGAGCTGTGGGCACGTTGCTGGCGCACGCTGCGGGCAGGCGTGGGCTCTCTCCCACGGCTCTCGCCTGGCTCCCACCTCACCTACCCTGAGCCACCCTGCCCAGAGGAAGGACTCATGGCACCCTGCACCATCGTGGATGCACAGCCTTCTGCCTGTGTTAACACCGACTGACACAGGGTGTCTGAGGCACGGTCTGAGATCAGCACAAGCCTACGGTGACCCATGCCCACATACTCCCCCTCCAGCTGCCAAGAAGCTGCAGCCGTCTCCTGAGGCAGAAGTGGTGCCGTGTAACGGCGGGGTCAATGGGAGACTTCTGCTCCCTGCACGTGTTCAACTGAGAGAATGAGCTGATAAGCAAGAGAAAGAAGAAAAAAAAAAAAAAGAAACAACCAAAACCCACACCAAACCACCCAGACTTTTTTTACCATATGATCCATATCTGCAAAGTGGTTCTGAGGTATTTGGGGTGGATGAGGTCCTTGAATCTTCCTCTCCTTTCCTGCAAATTATTTGATAGAAATTTTTAAAAGGCATCTTTTATACAGGGGCAAGTGTTCTGTGGCAGCAGATGGCACCCCAAGCCCCCGCCCTCTCCCCAGGCCGCTCCCCCTTCAGCCCTCCAGAGAGGAAAGCTGCTCTTCCCAAAGGATGCCCACAGGAGGACAGGGCTGCTGGCAGCTCCTGTTGCCCCACTTGCTGGGGAGAGGGGCCCAGTATCAAGTTTGGCACAAGGTTGTGGCCACGTGCATCTTGCCGGGAGGCCTGGAATGCCAGTGAGCAGAGAGACAAGCAGGCACTGCGACGGGGGGAGCCTGCCTGCCTTGCTGCTCCCCAAGAGCCAGCAGCTGCCACAGTATCCCACCGCTGAGGGGAGATGAGTTCACAGGGTCGGTTTGGGCTGCCTTTATTTTTATTTTCATCATTGGTTAAGCCTGAGAGGGTGCACAACTAACAAAAACCCTTCCCACAGCCAATGCAGGTCCATTACATAAATTCAATTAAACCACAGGGAAGCTTTAATCCTAATTAATTCCAATACAATAGCACCATCTTGCATGAATTGCTAAGGACAATGCTGGGCGCCTGTGGAATTGAATAAGCAGCAAAGAAGTCCAGGAAAATAACTTAAAAGAGCCAGATAATAATTTTGAGGCCCTGGATAATAGTTTTGTTCAATTTTCCTCTCTTGAGGGTCAAAGGAGCCACCTAAGTCTTCCCACCCTGCAGTCAGCAGGGTCCGGACTGGGAGTAAGGGAGAGCAGCCTGGAGAAGGGGAGGGGGCAGGCTGGCCCCCAGCTCCTCTCCTGCCCCACCTACAACACCCACACATGCTTTTGGACATTTCAGTCCAGTAGTGATCAATTCCTGAGCTGCTTAGCTGCTTACAGGTGCCAAGAGCAGTAGCTCAGAAATGACCTCTCCTGGTTTGACCCTCTTCTGCTGGTCCATGGCTCCACACCCGGGGACCTGGGGTGCTGGGACCCAGCGGACAAGCCTGGCCGGGGGCTGGGAGAAGCCTCTGGGAGCGGTGGGTTGACCTCATGGCGTGGACCCTTGCAACCTGACTGGCCACAGCCCCAAGCGGGGCCCCGAGGGGCACGTCCCAAGTCTCACAGCACAGGGGACACCCCTGGGGGATAGATGGGCATTAAGGAAGAAAGCACTTTGCCAGGACCCCTTTTTGTGGTAAAGGAAGCAAATCTTTTCTCAGCACAATATTTTTCTGAGCGAATACAAAGAATGCAAATAAAAGCAGAAAACTCAATTCCACTTTGAAGGCTAAGATTACAGTCTCTCCAAAAGACAAAATACATCTTCATCATCACTTTCAATAGTTGTTTGGAAAGAAAACAGGCAAGAGGGGGAGAGAGGCAGAGCAAGACGTGCTTGGCGGTCCTGCTCCCTCCCCGAACCCCAGATGTTGGCAGTTCTGCCCAGGATGGAGGGGCCGGGCAGTGCCACGGGCTCAGCTTACCTTGGCAGGCTCCCTCAGCACCCCCTCAGGCATCACTGCCCTGTTCATCTTGGCTATCCTCTGCAGCGTGGCCAGGGCAGCCGCCATGTTTCCCATGGAGATGTTGTAGCGCGCCGACTCCGGGATGAACTGAAAGCAGAGCAGTGTCAGAAAGCCCTTCAGCACGCCTCCATCCACACAACCCTACCCACAGCTTCCCATCATGCCCAGGAGCCCGGCCAGGTCAGCATGGGGCACCGCCTGAGCTGGAGCCGCCTTTTGCCTGTCCTCCTCACCAGCCATGCCCTGGGGCACCCCTACATGTCCCAGCTCCCCATACCCTATGGTGGGGGGCTGACCCTGCCCAGCAAACCCATTTCTTGGACCGGCCCTCAGGGGTCTGTTACTGAGCTGTCTGTGGCAAGCATGCATGAGAGGGGGAAGCCAAAGACACAGGTCTAACAAAAAACAACCCTTAATTAATCGAAATTCTAAACTGGGATAAGGCACATCCTGGTGAAAAATCTCAGAAGACTCAACATGGCCATTAAGAAAAAGGAAGACATTGCTAAAATTTAGGAACAAACTCACTCATTGCTAGCATTTGCAGTGTTCACCCATACCTGGTGATCTCCACAAAATAAAATACCTTTTTATTAAATTATGGCTCTATTAAATTATAAATAATTACATGTGTATCACTGAAATAGAAATGAAAGACTCCTTTTTTAAAGGTATGTATGTTGCCCATGTCTTTTTTTCTTCTGGACTAAAAACTTTTGCTTCCCATTTTTACAGGCAAAAATAATCAGGGGAACCAAACATCAAAGATATATGAGTCGATGGTAACAACAATCTTGTGTTTGACTGCCCAGGTATCACCCCGGATGGACTTGTGCATTCGTTCAGCTGCAGAAAGGGATCTCACATCTGCACGACTTGCACCAGCCACAGCTTAGCACTGCAGTGCCCATGAGCACTGCAAGTAGGGATTTTCCACGTCACTCCCCACAAATAAGATGGTCCTCATGTCCAAGGCTGATATTTCTGAAACATGAGTAGACCTGGGGAAGCTGCGATTGACCCTGACACCCATTTGCTGTGTGAACACTAGTGAGGCTTCTTTCCTCAGCCCTGGCAAATGTAAAGACTGAAGAGGACGTGCTGCGATCAGCACTAGACTGAACATACTGTGATTTTTTGCACATCCTGTCTAGCCTGTCTTCCTTTTGATGCCTGGCCTACCACCACAGTCTCTGGGTACCCCTGGCAGTCTGGACACTGGAGCCTGGGGTGCTGGAGGGCTGCAGCAGGGCAGCAAAGCCAGAGGCTTTGCAAAGCAAGGCAAAGCCAAGCCATCTCCTTCAGAGTGACATGGTCCCCAGCAGGTAGTCTGGAGCCACCTCCACAGGCCATCAGGACCTTCCCAAGACTCCAGATGAGAGGGCTGTGGTGGGGAAAGGACAAACCCAGGGCTGCATGGGGTAGAAGGCAGTGTCTCTTGGTGCCTGGGGAGACGCCAGGTCGGTGGTGCGATGGGGAGCAGAGGCCTTGTGTTCCTACCTTGAACACCAGAATGAGAAGCATGCCAGGGATGGAGGCAATTCTGATCAGCCACCGCCAGCCAATGGTTGGGTTCACCACTGATGCCAGGCCAATGATTAACAAGGAACCTGCCAACCAAAACACCTTTCCGAGGGAAAGGAAGGGGTTAAAACACAAACACATGGGAAGATTTGTTTATTTTCCTCCCTTCTAGTCTGGTCTTACAGATAGGTGGGGGTCTGCGCTGGGGAGCACTGCGGTTCAGAGTCATTCTACGGCTCTCTGAGAAGCTGAGCTTGGGTTGAAGGAAAGAGGGAAAGACAGACAAGGATTTGGGGAGGGGTAGCTGAAGATAGTCTTAACTAGCTCCAGATGAAAACAGATAACTTGCTGTGGCTACCATTGTACTTAAAGCCACTGCTTTTGTCCCTTCAGTTGCTTCTCTGCTAACATTCATGCCCGTGAATTTTCCTCTTGTCTAAATCTCTGTGGGGAAGCAGCAGATTTACAAGCACCAAAGACAAAAACAGGACAGATTTCCACTGCTGGAAGTTGGTGGGTCTCCAATAGACTCAATGCCAAGATATACCAACAGAGAATCTGCCCCCCCCCAATCTGCAAGTACATTCCTCCCTGAAGTTCACTTGTTGCCATGAGGAGATGCATCCCTTTCCAGGGCACCACCCAAGGGAGCTCGGCCAACACAAAGCACAAACAAATACATAAATGCCACAGCAAATTCATGAGTGATCTGTAGGCAGAAATAACAAATTTCTGGAGAGAAATACAAGATTGTTCTTTTTTATAAACAAGACTGTCCTTTTTTATAAACCTTTCTGCTTCTGATGACACTTTGGTAATGAAGTCTTGGGATCAAACAGGCAGTAATGAAAAGCAAATTATCCCTGCCACCAAGACTGTATACAAACACTTTTGGTTCAACAGCCAGATGAATTCGCTCAATGAGGCCTCCCCAGATCATTTGCACATGCAGCAAGTGCCCACTGCAGACATCTGGACTAAGCAACAACCTCAATCACGCTTGCTGTGGTCTTTGCCCAGCACATCTCAGGCCAGATGTGGGACTATCTATGGTAGCCCTGTCCTGTGCAAAGCCCCGTACCGTCCCTGAGCAGGGATAAGGAGAGGCACAGATTAGGACCTCATCTGGGAATCACCTCATTAACCACTTGTTAGCCACAGGGGGTCCAAAGAGAGGCAGGGATGAGCCCAGGCCCGGAGGGGGCCGGTGGTGCCAGCGGTGCCTGACGGACAGCTTATTGTCACCGGCCCCATTAGAGCAAGCAGCGCGGTTTTCGATAGGGCAACAGAGAGGCTAGATGCCAGCCATCACTCAAAGTCCCCACACAATGTTTGCAGCTTCCAGTCATTTGAGAAGATACTGCCTCTTCTGCAGGCAGCTGCCTGTGTACATGTTTAGTAACGCGGATGGCATGCTCTGGGGTGCAGGAGGCAGCAGGCACTCGCTCGGACCCAGACAAGTGCAAATACCCTGGGAGAAAGGCTGACGTGCTGGAGACCTGGCTTCCAAAGAGCAGCAGGGCATATCTCCTGGGACTCCGGGCTAGAAGAAACAATAACGTTTCTTACCTGAGATAAGGGCAACATGTATCCACGGTATTTGGTGGGCAAAAATTCCGTCTTTATGATAAGCCTAGTGAAAAAGGGAAAAAAATACAGAAATACAGCAATAAAAAGAATTTCTATACTAATCAAATAGCAGTTCAGCTCAGTCAGTGCTGGACATTGCTTCCTGTAGACAGAGTCACTGAGCTCCCAGAGATGGGGGATCCCTGCTCAATATGCCTTTCACTCAGCCTGTAGACAGAGTACCATCCCTCTTCCACCACTGAGCTCCCAGAGATGGGGGGATCCCTGCTCAATATGCCTTTCACTCAGGCAGGCACGAAGTTATATGCAAGGGAGATGCACAGCATGAATCCCCTCCAGGCCATGGCTATAGGCTGTGTCCTGTAGGCAGGGAAAAACCACGGGCCAGGAAACCTACGGGGAGGTCCTGCAGGGTGATTGGGGTGTCAGGACAAGTACAGAGTATGTTTGCAGAAATGGACAATTTTTAGTGAATTTTTTTGTCATTAAATTAAGAAAACAACCCACTCCACTTTTTATCAAATGGTTGGCTAGCCCGTAGGGGAGCACCTGCCACTGGCATCTCTCAAGCTCACTGGTGTGAGTTGTGTTTCCTTGGCTGGAAAGAGAGAGGCGTGGGGAAGAGACCCACGTGGGCTCCTTCTGTCTCGGCTATTGAAGTGTCTTATAAAATGTGCAATTTCCCCCAGGCCGGGGACCGGGGGCCCTCCTGCAAGGGAGGCAGGCCTGGGAGCTCAGCAGATGCACAACCCCAGTGCACGGTGCCTTCTCCTCCCGATGGCGCCTATCTCCCTCCCATCCTTTGCTTCAGCCAAGTGCTCTTGGGTCAACGCAATCAGCTTTGGGCTTTCCTGCCTGGGCAGCAACCTGGCTTCGAGGAAACATGGGAGATGCTGAAATGTTGCATTTGTTTCCCTGAGAGTCGAAAGAAAGAATTTAATTTGCCAGGCTCCTAGTGAAGTGATTGTTAATATTGTGAATTTCTGCTCTCCCCCTCCACATCCCCCTTCCCGCCCCAACAGGGCAAAAAGTTTCATTTAAGTGGGAACGTTTTACATCAGTTCAAGAAGAATTTGCTACTTAAGCAGAATTGTTGTGACTTTTTTATGAGGAAGCAGCCTTTGCTCATCTGTTACCTGTCTAATTGTTTTTATAATATATGTGCTTAATAATCCCTCTGTCACTGGCTTAATGTAAACCAGCTGCCCCCTCTATTCCTGGCCTTGGAAGTCCTTGGGAACTACAATTTAGGTTGATCGACAGGGATTCAGTGAAATTACAGAACCGCATTTTGTTTTAAGGCGATGTGGGAATTTGCTCCCCTTCCCACTTCCAGCCCCTGTGGAGACCCCTTCCCCTCCGTCTCCTCCAGGTCATGGTGCAGGGAAACCGGGCACTCTGCCAGGGTCAGCCAAAACGAGCTGAAGGGCCTTTCTGGCAGTAAACCTGGGAACGCACCCCCTCGGGTCCATGGGTGCCTCCACTAACCCCCCTGTGAAGGCTGGCTTGCCGCTGCCCGTGTCACGAGGCGCGAAGCGTGGGCCTTACCCTTGCGCATGGCCCGACACGCCACCGCCTACCATGGCCCGCAGGAACACGAACCAGATGTAGGATGGGGCAAACGAGGTCAGCAGGGAGAAATAGGCTGCCCAGAGGAATGAGAGAAGCAGAATCTGCGAAAGGGGCAAAATTAGGGTCATCAAACCATGTGCTCAGCCAAGTGCATGGCTCTCACGGGGCTCAGGAAAAGGACATGCAGCCCCCATCACTCACTCACCTTCCAGCGGCCATACCTGTCAGCCAGGAGCCCGAGCACTATGCTGAAGATCATGTAGCCAAAAAACACCATCTAAGGGGAATTGAAACACCGCTGTGGAGGCCTCATTGCCAGCAGCACCAGGCAGCTCTGCTCTTCGAACTGTGGGTGAGTTGAATGCTTTCCGAGCAGCAGGATGAACTGCAGTGCCCAGAGCTGTGAGCAAGGTGGCTTTCAGGGGTTGACTTCCTCCATGTAGGCACTCACTGCTTCAACCCGCAAAGCTGAGGGTTGGATGACAAGGACTTCAAAATAGGATTATGGAAGTGGGGGCTTGTTTTGACATTACAGCTCCAGGCACAGACGTGTGTTCACGTCAGCTCACATCTGGTTTTCTACAGTTGTGGTACTGTTCCTGTTCCTGCAAGGAGGCCCTAGGAATTTATTTGGTCCACTGGGAAATGCGCTTTACAAAGCCTGTGGCGGTGCCCCTGACAGTGACCACACTGTGGATGATCTGGGTGGGGGGAACACAAGTCACTCACCGTTGTCACTAAAGCCACCTGCCAGTCTTGAAGCTGCCACTCACATCGGATGAGAGGGGACACAACAGCTATTAGCATGATCTCCATGGCTTCAGCCACCTTTGGGAACAAGTGTGCACATTAGCAAGAAGGGAAGCCATGAGGAGCCCATGAGGGAAAGTCCCTCAGTCCTACCAAGCCTGCAGTCACAGTAGTCTCACCATGTCAAAACAGGCCTGTGAAGCCATGGTGCCTCCATAGTGGTCTGAGCCCTGTGCCTGAACTGGAAGATGTGAGCACGTGGAAACAGGGAGAGGAGGGGAGAAAGGTGCAGCTAGAAAGCAGGTAGCTAAGCACACTGTGTACCTAGGAACACTGCAAAGACTCATCCTTTGCAGAGGAGACTCTTACCCAGCTGTGATAGTGGAAGGTCTTCAACTATCTTGGAAACCAAGCTGCTTGGTTAGGTACCCTGCTGTGAATTTGGGCATTTAACACAAAGATGACCTCTTAAAACTGTTTTTGATTAAAAACTTCATTGCTTCATTGCCTGTTTGCCCCAGCAGCTGGCTTCAGTTAAGAAATGAGCCTATCATTTACACATAGCTAGAGGCTTTTACACCTCAGCTGCAGTGATCCTCATGGATATGCCCCTATCCCATCTTTACCCCAGCCTGGCCTCAGGCTTTTGCCCCAGTTCCCAAACCAGATACACCATTAACACAAGATCCTGGCAGTTAGGAAGTTTTTCAGGTAGCCAAGGGTCAGAGGAGGGTAGTCCACCCAAGCCAGATTGCACAGGGTTTGGGTTCCCTGGGAATGGTGTGGAAAATGAAGTGGGGAGGCTGAGTCTAACCCTCAGGCACTACTGAAGACGTGCCCCATCAGTGCTGCCCAGTGGGACGGTGCTCCAGGGCAGGGGCCAGGCCAGGATGCTCTGGGCCAACCTGCTCAGCTTTGCCCTGAAATAGGTCTGATATCAATTGTGGCCAATATTGATTTTGACCAAAGATGACAACAGCAGAAATTGTGCTTGAGAAGGTACGTGTGAAAAAAATGGGCTGCAATATGTGCCCATGGTGCTTGTGGTTGTTATTGTGTGGTAATAAGGAAAATGAGAAGAGCGTTTTTCAGGCCAGTGCAGGTGGCTGCAGACACCTACCCCAGTGCTGCCCATGATCAGGAAAAGCACGATGTGGAACTTCCCAAACCCAATGGTTTCCACAGCTTCTTCCACTGTAAATGTCTTCTGCCCTGAACACCCAAGGGAAAGACAGATAGATACAAAAAAAACAAGTCAGCAGTCAAACTGTACCTCTTTATGAAATGTCAGCATTTTTCATGCTACTGTGGGACCTCACCAGGAAAAAGGCTGGAAACACCTACCAGTTGTGCACCCTCTGACCAGCCACTGGGCACACTGGTGGCCGGGCATGTCAGGGGGTTGCTGAAACAGCAGCCAGCAGGGAAGGGCAGGCTGGGCATGGGGGAAGGACAGCCTTGTACTGAGTTACCTCAGCTGCTTCAGAAACCCATGGCTGGGACAGTGTCTGGGCAATGGTCTACTCTCTTCCCCTGCCCAAACTGCCGTGAGGCTCAGTCCCTCTGCACCCCTGGGGTACGGCCCTGCTCCCAGCATGGGTGGTGTGAGCTGGGGACTGCTCCAGGTCCGAGCCCTGCAAGATGAGCACAACCAGGGACTCTGTGCTCAGTTTCATCTCTAAAACCTTTCTTCCTGACTTCTGCCCCCATTTCAGGAGCAAACAAAGCATCTCAAGATCAGAGCTGCGATGGCCTTATAAACAGACCTGGCAGAAAGCTTTCAGTGTATGTATACTTTTAAGCTCTTATTTAAGTAAAGTCATAGCTGCATAAATTTTTCTGTCAGGCCATTTATCTCCCAACTAAGTAATCTCAAACCTGTCAACATTACCTCTGAAATGGAACAGAACTTACTGCAGAATTGCAGGAGAAAATTCCTTTTCTTTTTTTTTTTTTTTTAGATGCAGAACTTTTTGTTTCATGCTTTTCTACATTTTCTTTCACTTTAAATGCTTTTGAAACAGAATACACATTTCTTTTCAAAAATAAATTATCCCAAATGAAAGAATCATTGAAATATAGGTATAAATGTTTACACAAAGCAGAGGCCTGAGAAAAACCAAGCCAGCCAGCTCATCCCACCACCATATGTAGCAGCCACCAGTCTGGTAGCTGTGATGGGAGAGGAGCAGTATGAAGCTGGTGCTTGTGGTTCCATGTACAGAGGTTTTAGGCACCTGGAGTGCCAGGACTGGGGACCCTCCCTCTGCCCTGGCTAAAAGAGGACCCAAATTACTAGTCTTGCCAATACAAACCCACCTTTTGGGGGTTCTTGTCTCTCCACGTGGATTTCCTCCAAGCCAATAGGATTTTCTGCCTCTTTCGGTGCAGTGGCCATTTCAGCTCTTGCTGGGGTTCACCGTCACTGTCAGCTAAGGCTGGGATTTAACTATTAAACCTCTGGACAGTCACAAAGCCATATGAACAATAAATCAGCAAAAGCAGTATCCCACGCTGGAGTGGAAACATTCAGATATGCTGAGACATGGGTTTGTTTCAGGCAGCTGCTGGGAGATGTTCCTTCCTGGCCCAGCCTGCTCCCCTAACCCTGGCTGCCCTGGGATGGCACGGCTAGCGAGAGGCAGACACCGAACTCCTCCTCACCCAGCCTCCACCTTGCCAGCATGGTGCTTCCCGCTGCAAACCTGATCCTCTGCTCACCCCCCACCGTGCTAATCCCCAGCCTCTCAGGTCAGCAAGAAACGCAGCCATGCGTTCTGGATTGCAGCAGGGGAGAGCTGGCTTTTTTCCCCCAGTGTTTCTGGTTTCCAATGCTAGATCCCTTGGCCTGATCACAGCTGCTTTTCCCGGTCAGAAAAACTCATCTTAATCCCAGGGCAGGGATTAAGCACACCACTTGCTTTAACCCACAAGCTTTCCTAGGGGTGGGGGGCTCAACACATCTTCAATTTGACAATGCCCTCTCTTTGATTACCTCCCTTCAGGGGTGCTGGACTTGGCCCAGGCAGCATTAACAGTCACCCAGCAGTGATCGGGAAGGCTGCAGTAGGGTGAGAGATTGAGGGAATTAATCACCCAGAGCATCTAACGAAAGATACAAAATCCCAGCTGAGACAGAGGGCAGCACAAACATGGAAAGCACGGCATTACAGTACTCCCAGGCTGGATACCTTAAAAGCATTATTCTGAAGTGCAGTTATAAGGAGGTCATTAAGGGCTAATGGCAGATTAGTCGGTTGGGTCACATACACTGACCTTGCTGTTACGGATCATTACAATCTGGCATCCAAGAGGACACATAGGATATTGCTTACGACTGTCTCTCAGCAGTGTCCTCCAGGGCAGCAATAGCTGTCAGCAGCACACGGTGCCACCAGCTGACCATGCTGGCCACCAGCTAGGGACCATGTCCAAGTGGAACCAGCTCAAGAGCAAATGGTGCTTGGAAGAACCCATGAGAAGAGGTAAAGCTTTACCGTGTGGCTGAATCGTAAAGGGCTTTGCAATAATAAACTCTGGGGACCTGTTTTTTCTCCTTTATTGTTCCTTTATGATTAGGGACCTGCAAACACATTCTGCCCTAAGCTGCTGGATCATGCCTGTGTCTGGTTAAACAGCCACCCTCTTCTGAAGCCTGTGGTGGGCATAGCCCAGGGTACTGGCAGCCCAGGCTGGGGCATGCTCAGGACAAGGATCAAGCCCTGGACCCTTGCCCACCCATCCTGATGCTGGGATACTCTGCTAATTTTTGCTTAGAGGTGCAGGAGTGTTTCACTGGTGCTCACCTGCTCTGGGCTATGTGCCACCATTCTGGGAAGCGCTGCAGCTCTTCCAGGAAAGGGGAGAAAAGCCTGGTCCCTGGAGTTGCTGTGCAGGACCCCTAGAGAGGCTCAGGTGTTCAAGCAGAAGGGTGCAGTGAGACCTCTGACACCCCACAGTAGCCAAGACATCCCCAGAGGCATCAGGATGGCGGATAGCATCTATGGCAGACCCACACTGCTTTCAAATAGGAGCGGGCGAGCAGGTGGGATACCTGCTTTAGCATCTCAAATAACACCAGAAATCTGTGCAGGCACCTGCATCCCCCTCTGCCCAGGTTTTGGGGCAGCTGGAGCAAAATTCACTCATCCATGAGCAGACAAGAAGCCACTCTTCAGGTAAGGTCCTGGCACTGTACGGTCTGCTCCAGCATTTATGTCCAAAAGACAGAGATTTAGATGCAACCCTTCAGTAAACCTTCTAACGGTTCCTAGTGAACCCACGGTTTGCTCATCCCAAACCTGTGCAGCCCTGTTTGCCTTGATGGAGTAGCTAGTGTCTATCATGCCTCTTAGGCAAGTCACAAGTTTCCCACTATTTGTAAATTCCACTGAAAATACCAAATGCCAATTATGTGAGCCAAAAGAACACCAGTGACAAAGCTGCTGCTGGCAGGGAAAATAGCGAGCCTCCACCCAAAGGGAGCAACCAGGAGTGCAGTGAAACCACTACTGGGACCCGGCGGAAGGACGCCACACGAGAGGGCTGTGAGGCCACAAAGGGCACCCAGTATGCAATGCTGCGCATGAGAGCAGCTGCAAATTCTGTCAATAAAGTCAGAGAACTTCTGCACGTGACATACAAATGATCAAATGTTCCCACTATTAAGCCAAGGCTTGATTAAATATTTTTTCTTTTTTTTTTTTTTTTTTTTTTTGAGTGAAGCTTTCTTACCTCTGCAGTGTCTCAGGCACGGAGGAGCAGACCTTTCCTCTTTGCTGACTGTTTTTTTCCTTCTGTTGTTTTCTTCGTACAGTGTTGGCCGTGCTGTGGGTTTGGGATCCAGCTCCCAGGAGTCAGGTTTCCTCCTTGCTAGGCACAGGCGGGTCCCTCTCCATCTGCCTCCGCCCCTCAGAAGTAGGTGCTGCAGGCGGGGTGTCCCAGTGCTGACCTGTGCTGGTCCCGTGGCACCTACACGTCTTCCACAGGGGCTGCCCAGCATGGGTGATGGTGCTTGCCCACCCTTTCTTGTGGGGACAACCCTAGGGAGATGGAGGGAGGGTGCTGGGGAGATCTCCCTATTCCAACACCGGGAAGACTTTAGCTGACAATTTTGGGGTGCAGGTCCTGCAGCACCAGGGCCCAAGTAAGGCACCTTTGCCATCCCCTGCAAAGCCATGAGCAGTGCCCAGGTGCTTCAGCCACCAGCTCCCTTAGGCCAGATGATGCCAATTCAGGTGCCATCACCATGAAAACAATGAGGACTATCCATCTTAGTGCTACAGTTTCTGTTGGCCAGTGAACCTGAGCTACGATAGCTATGTGCTCTTGACTAGGAGTGTATATGTTAACCTTTAATACTCAAGTGTGTTGGCATTGGTGAAGGCCAGTGAAGACACCGGGATGTTTTCTTCTATCTCTCTCGTGAGGGTTCCCAAAGTCCTTCTGTTTTGAAATACATACACTGAGCTGGCAGCAATGCTGCAATAGTTTTATCAAAGCGTTTAACTCCCGTGCCAAATCTCATGCTTTCAAGCATCAGGAATACATTTGCTACCAGCCAACATATGCTATTTCACAGCCTTATTTTACATCTTCTTCTTAATAATATCTAATATTCAGCTACAGCTGTTATTGGCATCTGAACAAGATGTATGATATGGGCTGCCAGATCCATACTATTATGTTTTCATTGCAGAAACTCAGACAGTGTGCGTGCGATCACAGGAGGATGCAGATGTTTCGGCATGCCAGCTTCCCAGCACAGAAGAGAAAAAATGAACAAAATACCAGTGAAATTCTCAGCCACAGAGATGTGCTTTCAGGCCCAGACCTTTGGTATGGAACAAAGGGCTACTATATCTATTACGGTTTTTTAACCACCTCATGATATTTTCGTTATTTGCCACAGAAATGCAAAGACTGGTCAGAGTGAAGCATGAATGGAAATGTCTACATGTGTGAAAGCTCCGGGAGAAACAAAAGAGTGAGGGCAAGAAGAAAGGTCTCCATTCTGGCCAAGGACATGATGGAGAGCCATCACATGGGTAAACACTGAGAAAAGTGCTGTTTGCTGCAGGAGCTAGAGGCCAGGCTCCAAGAAAAATTTGATTCCTGAAGTTTATGAAAGCTCAGTCCAAAAGCCAGTTCATCATTACCAGTCCAGAGGACCTAAGAGACTGGACAAGAACTCTATACCTGGCTTTCCTCATCCTCCACATCACCAAAGGCGTCCTGGTGGGAAGGCCTGGCCACTCACAGCAATGGGTCTCGTGAGAAGGAATAAAAAATCCCGGGGAGAATGAGTGTGAGTGACTGAAACCAGTTTGATTGACTTTCTTATCCCTTTCCCTTCCTACATAGTCATTCATTGAGTTTTTTATTTCCTACAAAATGATATAACTCATGTCACCAGCTCTTAAAAACAAACACCTTCCTAGCAATGGGATGAGCTTTGGATCCAGAAGCACCGATTCGTCCCTAGGCACCAATCTTGAGTCTGCCCCGAAGGGACACACTGAGGTCCTGACTTGGGAAGAGTTCCCAGTCAGGTAATAAGTCACACCTCCTCCAGCAATGGGTAAAGTTCAGATAAAGACAGTGGGGTGTTGTATGGAGGTCTACTAGTCTGTAGCAGTGGTCTCTGCCGGACCTGACCCCATCAGGTGGCTGCATTCACAGAATCAGCCAGAAAACGTGGTCCCATTCAGCTTAGCAGCTCTGCAGGGGAACGCGCAGTCACTGTGCTGCTCCAAAGTCCTCCTCATCTTCTGTAGGAAAACCTTTTAAAAAACCAAGCACTCTCTGGAACATTTCTTGTTTTTTAAAGAAGTCTTAAAAACAACCCAGATGAAAGCCAGGGCTCTCCTCAAAGTGTGTAAGAACAACCCTGCCTCTCAGCAATATTTCATCTGAATGCTCCCTGATTATAAGTGGGCTTGGTCCTCATGTGGAGTGAGGAAGCTCCATCCCTGTATCACAAGTGCTCAAGTGAGCCACAGGCTCTGCTGCGTTATTCAGTTGCGCACAGAAAGGCAGAGCTGAATACAGAATTAAGCCAAATGTTTGAATCGCTGTTGGGTACAGTAAACAACAGACCATCTTGTCACCTGCAGTATTCACAGGGTAACTTGTTTTTCTTGCTTAAAATGTAAGCCTCAGACAAAAAGCAAAACACCAAGAAGCTCTAAAAGGAACAGATATTCTGTTTCAGGTAATCACTTCTCAGTTACATTGCAATCACATGGAAGAGTGCAATAAAGATAAAATATGTCTTTGTGCAGAAAACCCACCCATTGTTTCATAAAGCAAATTGTTTTCTCTGTGTTTGGTAATGCATCAAACTAGTTTGGCCTTTCTTGCTTCAAGACAGCTTTTTTTCCTGAATAGGAATAAATAAAATCGGCTGGAAGGAAGAAACAAAGGTGATGTGCACACGCTGAGCAACTGTGACACCAGCTGCATTCATGTCCATGTGGTTTTTGCCTGTACCATAGGTTGCCCATGCCCGAAGAACTGGTGGCATGAGGCCACACGTGCGTCATGGACACAGTCTTGTGCCCACCTCTTCTCAGCTCCAGCTGCTGCTTCAAACCCAAGCTTCTGTTAAAAGGGAAAAAACCTCGTGGCTCTGTCGGTAACGGGTGCCCAACACCAGTATGGCTGCTTGAGATCACAAGGGAAAAAGCGGAACAACTGCTTTGCCTGGGGCCGTATTTTCTCCCCGGTCACTGAAAATGGCTCTCCAGCCCGACTACTGCAGACTCACGACCTGTGATGACATTTCCACTGTGTGTCCTGCTGGGAACACTCCCAGGTGGGTTTCTTTGGCAGAGCTGGGTATCAGGGGTGTGAGGTTTGAAAATAGGGTTTATTTGGCACACCCCATGGAAGGGAGCACTGTCACCTTCAAATCTATTGGTGTGCTGTGTTGGGATTTTACATCCTCCGTGGTTAAAAAAAAAAAGCTTGTTAGGACTAATACTATTCAATTTGAAAGATAAGTAATCCATGAATATTTAGGAAGGATCACAATACATCAATACTTCAAATTCATCTCAACTATTTTTATTCCTCTCTTCTTTCTGCTCATTAAGTATTAGTGTTTCTACACAGTCTGCTTTAACAACCCATCTTGAAAAATACAGCACAGGGGGAGTCATCTTAAGTCTCCAGTGAGAAACAAGTCAATAGAGAGAAATAAATTGGCTGCCAATGTGGAAACTGGCGCACTCTTTTGTTTACACAGCTCAAAACTAACACTTTTGTTAAGTGATGACGTGTACAAACGGCTATAATCCAATGCTGTCAAGCCCTGGAGCAAATCAGATAAAAAGAGAGTTGTTGTAGTAAAGCATGCAGAAAATTGCAAGCCTGCAATATGATCTGTCTTTGAGCTGGTTTGCATTGTGTGCTAAATGAAGGGCTGCAATCTTATAAGGGACTTAATCATTGTCATATGATCAACCACAGCTTGAAACAACAGCCAAAACATATTTTCCTCAGAAAGAAATATGCCACAAACACAAGGCAGTAAATGGAGCAAAGCACATGCGAGTTGATTATTAATAACCAATTTAATTCGAAGGCTGCATCTCCTCTTTTCAACCAAGCAGTAGGGAGCTGACCTGATCAAATGCTGAGGACCAGGTACCTGGCAAAGACACCAGTGGAGATACTCAGCCAAGGGTCCAGCCAGCCTGGCTGATGCAGTTCAGCTCTCAGCTGATACAGCAGTATACGCGAATGTAGCTAGGGCATTTTCATCTGCAGCTGTTCTTCTTTCAAGGGCCACATCCCATTCTGTTTCATCCCATATACCCTACTCTGTGGGTGAGTGACCACAAGATAATAGAGCACGGTCTGAGAAGTGAAACAGCGATGCACTGGCTTCACTCTTCTGCGGTGCCATCGATGATGTACTTGAAGGAGAATGGAGAAAATTTGTACCCAGCTCCCACGTAGAACTTGTTTTGGAACTCCACCCTGGGGAGGAGCAGAGGGGGGTGTCAGTGCTGCCCACAGGCAGGATCTATGGCCAGCTGAGAGGCTGAAACATGGCACCCATGGGAAAAGGGAGGCCATGAGAGCTGATGGCCTCTGAGCTGGGAATGTAGGTTCCTCCTGGAGCCAGCAGTGAGACACAGGCAGCCCGGGGAGCGACCCGGCACGCATCAGCTTTGACTTTCCATCAGTCAGCCTAGAAACGCTCCCAGTGAGGCCAGTTGGCAGGACCTTGCCTGCCTGCTAAACTGCTTCTAGCAGCTCTGAGAGCTGGGGTAACTGCCAGCTGGTTGCACACTCTGGTGAGACACAGACATCTCCCCCTCTCTGCATAATGACAAGCAACTGCACCACAGTTTGCCTTGGCAGCGTTCGTGGTTTGTGGTGGGACGTTGGTGAAAAAGGCCACAGCTTGGGTGCTCAGGCAGGATGCCAAATTATGGTGGTGGTGAAGGGTCATTTGTTACCCTGGTCTTGCTTTACATACTAGCCCAATGGTGCATCCACACTGCTGTCCTTGCCTGGACTGACAGCTAGTTAAGGCAGCCATGAACTAACTTCAAACTGGTTTGCCACAAAGCCAAAACAGCCTGGAGCTCAACTTGGGCTAATGGCACAAGTACTGACCCTGGTTTTCGGGAGGTTTTTCAGCCCCAGTTGAACTCTTCCCACGGAACTAGTCCCCATCTGTATTGTTTGATGGTAACCCTGGGTGGGATACACAACCAGTGGTGCAGCTGTGGTGCCTTCAGGCCTTATCATTCAGGTCAAGGTGGCCTTGGTCGCCCTGCATGTTTGCCAGGGCAGAACTGCAGGTTGCCATTTGCCACACATGCCCACAGCAACCACAGGCTCAGGAGGGCAGGCAGGTTGCTCCAGGGAGCAGCTCAGAGATGGAGCAGGGAGCTCTGAGCTCCTTTTGGAGGAGTCTTCCTTGCTTCATTTGCCAGAGGGAACTGATGTCCTAATGCATAGGTACTAGTGCAGCATGTCTAACTCCGACTGGTGTGGCCACCTGTTTCCACAGCCTGATCCCTCCCAAAGAGTGCTCTGGGAAAGCTCCAAAACACCACACCACCTACCAGTGCAAACGCAAGGCATGCAGAAAGGCTGACAGCCCCTCCATGACAAGCAGGATGGCTACTGTCAGCACTGCAAATGCCGCGAAGATGATGAAGATGATGATGAGGCCTGCCCAGCTGCTGTTGTTGAACCCATTGTGCATCACCATGGTCCAAAGGACCTCTGACAGTTCTGCAAAAGGAAATAAGGGAAAACAGTGCTGAGCAACAGCTGTGGACAGACACAGCGCACAGTCTGGCAGCTCAGTTAGTTAGATGAGTTGGCCTAGGATAAAATGTAAATAACAGTAATCAGTACGTGACAGTAATCATGTATGGCCACCCTGCCTCTCCATGATGACTGGGGAAGGAAGGTGGATGGAGATTGTTTTTTATTGCTCCTCTCCACTGTGTTAGAAGCTGATGGTGCTGTTTTGGCTTGGCTTTGCATCACAAGTCCATGCAAGCACACTACCAAGACTGCTGTTACCCTGGCGTGATACAGTCATCAGTTTAATTTGCACCTCTTTAACATGGCAGATAGGCAGTGTGCAGAGCCTTCTAGGACTGCCTGCTGCTAAATCCCAGTGAACATGATCGATTGACATAGTCAATACATGTGTAGATTAGCTTACAAGCTGTACTGATTGACGCTAGCTGAGACCCACAGGAGACACATAATTCCCATTTGTTCTCCAAACCACTTCTCTTAGGGTGTCATGGAGAAACTGTGGTCAGAAAAAAAAATACAACTGGTTGGTCCCACCCAAGACAGGCTGTATTAGTGTTTAGGTTGCTTGTTGCTTTTAAAGATTTTTTTTCCTGCACAGGTTTATATCAACATTCACAGCACTGGTATATATCTGATATGTTCTGTCAGCTCAATAACATATTCCTAACTTAACTACCCCAGTCACAGGATAGATTCAGGACTGAGCAATTTTCCTCTTGTAATACAGGCAAAGCAAAGACTTAGCCCAGATCTTCGCCATCCAGATGCTCCAGCCACCAGTTCAGCCTACCATTTTGCCAGTCATTGGTCCTTGAGCCACGTTCAGATTCAATGACCTGTTACTTTAGGTGACAACTGATGCAAGGGATCCCTTGCAACTGCTGCCCTCAGGAAAAATACTCCTGTCAACGCCAGTTTGTAAAGCTGCAAAGGAATGTTGTGGGTTTCCAGGCAGAATTTTGACATAATACAGAGGGCTGCCCTTAGCTAAGCTTTTTAGTTGGTTTATTTTATTTTATTTAGATACCTGTCCTCCACGTAAAGCTAATATCTATTAGCATCCACTTGACTCCTACTAAGGTCATTTCTGTGCCAAGAAGTACAGCTCACCTCTGTCAATCCATGGCGTCCCCCCCCGTTTTGTTTTCCTTTTTTGTGTGCCCAATTCTTTAGGGCACGTGCAACTCCTAGCCAGAGGCAGTACAGCAATATTAATAAAAAAACATTTCAGAAAAATTAGAGTAGTTGAAAATCTAAAGTTCCAGCCTGAGGCAATTTCTAGTATTTGCGCATTTGTTTTTATCTTAAATCAAGACTAAAGACATTGCAATGTTGTATATTTCTCACAGAATGTGGGGTTCCACTAAATGTTGCTGGTGGTAAATATACCAGTGAAAATGACAAATTACAGGAGTTCTTGAACCAAAACTTTTCTTTTTAGTTTGCTGAACCAAATCAAAATAACTGTTTCAAGTCATTTTGACATTCATGTGCATACCCTAAGGCTTGGCAAGTTCCTCTTGGGAGATGAAGCTATTGTTCCCATACTGCCTTTACCTGTACAGACTGGACTACCCATTTGGACAGCACCTCCCACTATGCCATTCTGAGATACAAAGTTCCACAAGGAGAACTTTGATTTCATGGAGGAATTTGCAGCAATAATCAAACACCAGAAGCAGCAGCGATCGGCATGGAGTTGCTGGTGAGGTAACTAACAGGTAGTCAATCACTCACGTGCATGGGCTAAGCTCAGCGCCCAGAGCCGCAAGTAGGACGCTGTGTTGGAGATGCAGCCAAGGCAGTATTCAATGGTATGGATAGCTTGGTGGACAAATGTGTCTCCAAAATTGAACTGAAACAACATAAAGCCAAATGCATTTTATTAGTTCTTAGTTCAGGGCTTCCTGGTTAACAGAGCAACACTCCACCAAAGCTCTTCCTACTCCTCCCTTTTCCTTGCTATGTCCCGAGAAACACAAAGATATTTCCCCGACAAAAAGACTACTCTGAAAAGTGTCAACTCTGTATGATCTTCCCATACATTCTCCCTGGAGGAAATCGAGTGAAAAGCAAATGTTCAGGAACCAGCTCATATTCCAGTCTTACAATTTCAAATCTTTAGATGTCAATCCAATTGCTTCCAATCTTTGTGATTTCTTACAAAGACAGAAATTCTTATGTAAAATAAGGTTTTTCAGACTATCTGCCTATTGGCATACACGTTTTGGGACATATCACTGAATAAACGTATCTTCTAAGACTGTGAAGATTCCCTGTGACTGGGAACAGCCAGCCATATCCACACTCAATATTGTTGGTACTCTCAACTGCTACAAACACTTTTGTCACTTTTTTAACTGTGTTGCTGCATACTGCAGAAACCCTTGACATTATCTGCCAAAGGAAGCCTTTTCTCCCTAGCCAACACTGCAGGCTGCCAACTTTTAATTGCTCCTTTGCAATTTAAAGGAAGGAAACCTCACTGACTTTTGGGGAAGGCTTGACCTTCTCTGGGTGCAATGGGGAAGTGAAACAACTGCCCTAGGGGAAACCAAAGCTTGAGGTTTGTAAGAATGCCTGCCCTCATCAGGAAGCTTGAGGTTTGTAAGAATGCCTGCCCTCACCCGGCAAAACTAAAAGAAAAATTTAGAGGAATTCATTCTATGAAAATTCAAAGTTTACTCTGTTTGGAAACACAAACTGTTGCAACAGTGTGTCTTGGTATCTTGCTAAAAAAGAAAGACTGGCAAATCTGCAAAAGCCTTCTGCTTGACTTTGTGTTTTTTACTATTGTGTCTGTCTGGATAATTTTCTGCCTGCATTGTCTTACCTCTTCATCATTATCCTCATGTCCTCCATGGCCACCACTGTGGTCTCCCTGGGAAGCTTTCTTGGAGTGACTGGTCTCTGGGAAATCTACCTCATTTTCAGCTTGAGGGTTTCCTGAGATGGCTTGAGATCGTATCTTTCAGAAATAAAATGTAATATGTCTTTTGTGTCATGCTACAGGTTGATACCAAAATGAAGTAGACCATAGCACAGAACTCCATCAACAACTTCATGACAGGTAACATACGAAGGACCGTATCATGAATATGAGGACAATTTCAACAATACTTAGTCATCATGGACCACAGAAACTGAGTACTCCAAATGGCTAATAATACTTAAATATTTTCCATCCCAGAGCATTTTCCAGTGATTCCAACTGATTTGGAGCTGGTTTCTAGTCTCACAATGCACCCTTTATACCCACCATGAGAAGATCCATCACTTTTGGCAAATGAGAAAACTGAGGCACGTTAAAGCTGATGATCTCAATTAGATGGGTGCAAATCAAAGGAATTAGCATCAAGTGAAAGGGAAATGGAGCCTGAAAGGATCAGGTGACTTGATGAAGGTCACACAGTTCCTGGGATACAGATAGAAATACAATTCAGATGTCTGGATTCATTTTAAATTGACAAAAACCTCATGAAAACCCATCTTCTGTCCATAATTATTCTTTACAGAGCTTTTCTAGAGGCCTGAACAACCTGATCTGAGCCTCACTCCAGAAATGACAGCACAGCATAAGAATAGCTGTACATTATATGACAGTAAGGGTCCTATTATACAGCATAGCCAAACACAGACCTCATGGCTTCTGTCAGGTTCTGCCCTGTCACTCTTTATAGCTTCCAGCAGGTTTCATGGGCAAGGTCTTATGATAACATATTGTTTCCTATTGCAGCAGTAATCATTGTCACACCTGCTTTATCTTTGCTTTACCTGAATGTCAGCATAGAGAACAGACTTTGTTGCAAACATATAAATCTGGATAAATGTAAGATGTGATCAGACAGCTAACATATGAAAATTAGGAACAGAAATAAAGGGGCATAATAGAAGGTGGGGAAAAGCTGTCAGATGTTGCTAGCATAAAAGCAGGAGATGGAGTCAGCCATGTCAAGCTTTCATCCAAATCCCTGAAGAATGACAAAATAAGAAATTACAGCACAGAGGCAGGGCTGCAAAGGTCTCCCAGGGACCTGGCTTTCAGTTATAGGTCAGAAGTGACTGGGTTGGAAAAGGTCATGCAGCACAACCAGCATCTCTTTCTTCAAATGGAAACATCTGTGCCCTATAAAAGGTACTCCAGGCACTAACTCTGGCTATAAAGAGAAGTAAATTCTGACAGACAAGAAAAGTCCTGTTAGCGTAATAAAGGAGAGAATTAACGAACAACTGGGAAACTGCAGCTGCTGCAGTTATGTGCTGAAGAGCTGGGCAAACCGCAGAGCCCATGGGAAGGAGGGCTCCGTCAACGTGAAGGCAATCACTTATGGAAGAAAGCACCACTAGAAAGCACGCAACAGCTTTTAAATCGAGCTTCTCCTCCAAGCAGTGTTGATCTCTCCAAGGCCAGGAGTATCACAGATGCCCTGTTCTACAGAGCAGCCAACCAGTGGTTAGTGGTGGTTGTGGGCTGATCTGAGGTCTTTGCCCTGTCTTGGCTTTACCAGCACTTCAGTCTTTCTACACCTTCTCTGCTTTTGAATACGACAGTTGAAAGAGCTTGGTGTCAGCTTAACTCTTCTCCCAACAACCAGGGTATTGCCTTGTGAGCAAAGCTCCTGCTTCCCATTTAGATGGCTCAGCCAAATGTCCATACACATGCGCTTGGCACATGTGCCATAAAGCACAGACGAAATTGCTGGAGAAACTCTGAGATCAGAGAAAAGCAGAATTAGATCACTGCAAACAGTTTTTGGGGTCTGTCTCCTCAGCTTTGCCTTTCCTGTACTGAATCCCTCTGGCCTGATCCACATCCCTTACCATGCGCTGCGCTTTCTGGTGGTTGGCTCGGAGGATGAAAGGTTTAATTAGAAGCATCCAGGGAACAGCAATCAGAGCAAATATGACCAAGAAACTCTGAACTTCTTTCTAAAAGACAAAACAACAACAAGAGCAAAAAGTCACTTTACTTCCTTTAGCCTTTATGGTTAGAAACCTCATTCTATAAAGTGGGGTTTTTTTGGGCTTTTTTTTTTTTTTTTTTAAGACAGCAGATATACTCCCTGTGTCAGTTGGGTCTCCTCTGTTTGTAAGGACATGAAAATAAATGTATACTACTTAAGGCTCCCGGAAGCACTGCCAGCTAGAGATGGTTGGAGACTTGGAGATGAAAGGCTTTCATGTTGGAAAGGGTTAATTTGCCAAAACGCAACACTACTGACTTGAACCTGGCTCTCCAGTGTCCCAAGTGAATGTCCTAACCACTGGGTGAGCCAGTCAGCCTGCCTTACTTTGATCAATGTAGAAATGCTGCAGTAATAGCCAAGTCATTCAAGTTTTCCCCTGGAAAGCAGGGAATCCAGCATTTGTTCTACATTTGCCGTTCTAGGAGGGAATTGAATCCCCATAGCTTAGGTTTGATAACACTTTTTCCCCACAATATAAGGTGTTCTTGTTGCAGTATGCCACCCCTATTGCTGTCCTAATATAACTGTTTGTACTTTAAGAAAACAAAACCACAACAAAGAAAACGCTAAACTACACTTTTGCATTTTTTTAAAGCTGGCTCAGATCTCTGGTACCCTTATGGTCGGTCTCATACAGTCTTTGCGTTCAGACTACCCAGGTGGGTGGCACAGGCAGTTACTGGTGGGGTAGAGAGATGGGAATGTGGGAAAAAATTGGAAAGGCTTTGGGTTGTTACAGAGCAAAACTTTACCAAATAACTATTTGAAGGCTGGGAAACCTGTGTTTTCCCAAACTCCCCTGCAGCCTTAACACAATTACTTGGAACTGATTGGGACTCTCTACCAGCTCTGGCTCTCCAGCAGCGCTAAAACTGAGCTTACATTAAAGTGTACAACTGTATAGATGTAGATGCATACATGTGGCTGGAGGCAGCATTTGCTTGCAGATTCTTCACTGATGCTGCTGATGTAAAATCAGGCAAGAAAACCAATAATCCATGTTCTGAGCAAATAAATAGAGATTACTTTAAAAGAAGTCTTATCTTAAGACAGATATTTTTGCTTTTGGTTTTTTGTTTTGTTTTGGTTTGTTTTGTTTTTAAGTGAAATCCCCAAAGGAGATATTTCTGACAAAAAGCTGTCAGAAAATGCTCTAGCTACTTCTATTTTTTAGCTGAAAATATAAAGTTTTTAAGTTTTATAAAGAAGAAATAAGACTTTATCAAGGAAAGGAGAGGCTTGCTTTGTCTCTAGCCCAGACTTCAGGACAGCGCATCTGCAATACCCACCTTTGCATCCCTAATCGCCCTTCTTTCCCTTTTCCCCAAAAAGTATCTTAAATTGCATCATCATTCTTCGAAGGATGACACTAAGAATGAGGTTTCCTTTGCATCATTGATTGATAGCTTCTCTGTCCTACCTGTCGACAAGGCCAACACAAATACCAGAACAACAAACTTCTCTTATGTGACTGGCACTTGTGACTGAGCTTCTGAGCCTGTTCCCCATCTTTATGGTCACTCTCCACAACACCCACTGTGAGTCCAAAACCAGCTACAGTGGGCTGGAGCTGCTTGATCCATACCTGATGCAGATATAATGGAGCATTTGAAGAATCACTGTAATTGAACAGAAACATATTGATGAAGTGGATGAGGATGCTCGGTGCACTCTGGGATGAGTGGACATCAAAATGACACCATTTGAAAATAATCATGAAGACCAGGTAGCCAAAAAGAGAGACAATAAAAATCATCTCTGGAATGAACTGAAGGATAATGTTTATGTATTTCTTGAAGTAGCTGGAAAGAATCAGGAAAGATAGCTACAATTAATACATGATTGCACCCAAGTATGGCAGTGCTGTACACTACTTAGTCTTTGGAAAATAATGTAAGAAACATACAACTATCACTAGCCAAGAAAGAAGTCTGCAATTGCAGTGTTCTCCAATGAAAGACATTATTTAAATAGAAAAGCTTTGTCATACTTATTCTCCCCAGGTTTTAGTACTTGACCCACCAGTATCTCAGCACCTCTAAAGATTACTACATTGAAATAAAAGCCAATTTTCAAAAATAGCTAATTTACAAAGTTAAGCATTATACCCCAAGGAAAGTCAGTACTAAATGTAGAATCAGTTCCATAGGGGCAGTCCTCCTCTCTGTCATCTGCAAGCATTTTCCATCCTTGAGGGTCACCACATACCTTCCAGCTTTGGAGAGTCTCTCAAGATAGTAGTGTCAGCCCCTCCACTTTATCACTGTTTCTTATTTTGTGTTGCAAAATATAGCAGCAGAGATATAGACAAGCACACATACAGATCCTGACCAAAGGCTCACTAAGTCAGGTGAAACTCAAGCACGCACACTGTGCAAGATTTCAGTGTGCTTTGGATTAGGCCAAAAGAGTTTGTCTTTCAAGACAAAAATTATCAATAAGGCAGGTGCTATATATTTTTAATTTAGTGTACTTCAGTATTTCAGCAGAATCAAGAATCTAAGAGAGAAAGCGAAAAAGAGAGCTTATCCAAGACAATATCTGCAATGTGATAGTTGTCTTTCCAGCCTTTAGACTCAGCATTCTGTACCAACAGTGGTGTGAGTTAATGAGTGTATGCAACATTTCTACCCACACTAGGGAAAGGGCAAAATTCAAGTCATCAATCCAAGATATGAGGCTTTCTCTAAATGAAGGATAGTTTAGTGATAAGGACTTCTGTGCTGCAGCAACAGGCTTGGTGAAACAAACTTACATGTGGTTGAAGAGACTGAGTACCACCCCAAAAATCATGTGTACAATCCCTATGACAACTGACATCTTCATTTTGTAGGAGTTCAGGAAAGTCAGCTTGTTCGATGCAACATTCCAGATCTTTGGGGAAAGGAGCAGAGAGAAAAAAGAACAAGATTTTCAGGTGTTTGATCAGTACGAAATTTGTGGAAGTTGTTGCTTTGACACCACCAATTTAGTCCTACGAGTTCTAGTAAGAAAATAACAAGCAACAGAAATCTAGATGTTCCTTAAAATACTTTTCACTCTGCCAAGCTTCTCATCTAAAAAGTATAGAGTATTATCTTTGTTTAACAGAGGAAATAACAGGGATTTAAAATGATGTAGTGACTTTGCTTCAGTCCTCCAGAAACCATTGCAAAGTCAGTGTCATTCCTTGCCCTTAGGCTGAATCATCTTCTTTAGCAGAGGTGGAAAGACATGAGAAAAACCCTCCTGCTGCTATGGAAATTTGATCCACCTTCACCAGAGAAGTACTGAGGGCAGAGCATGTTCAAACTTTTTCTTTGAACAAAAAAAAGCTCATTCCAACTCTTTGGCCATGGAGATCAGATAATCGTCTGTGTCTCTGCAGTAACTTTTCAGTTGTGCTGGGACAGTAGCCATATGACTCTTCTCAGTCCTGCCTTTTTTATGCTACAGAGCTTTGGGGTTGCTTCTCCTTGTAAAACTTCCTAGACCCCAAAGTCTTCTGACTTCAGAGATGGTAAGTAGATATCTCTTTTCAGACACTAAGTATAGTACCTGAACAGAAAGGAGGAAGATAGATAGGATTATTTGGAAGGCAAAATATCTGCCTTTGTCCAACATGCTTTGGCTCTTCTATGACTATGGAAGAGACACACCTCAGCCATCCTGCCAGGACTTGCAAAATGCAAAGACCCATCCATACTTCTGGGCAGATGACATGGATAATTTCTACAGAGAGGGCCATGCGGGGGCTGGTGCTTTCCAGTCCACCCCTTCCCTGCTAGCACTTGTTCAGCTGTTTCTCCTTCCCAGCCAGGGGTCCCAGCCTCTCAAGCAGGCAGCAGCCAGGGTGGAAGAGGGACTAGCCTAGGTTGACCTAAAATATGTATGTGTCAGGGCAACATACAGAAAATTCAGCTTCCTCTGTTGAGATTCCTTGAACTGGACTGCCTACATCCTGGGCAGAGCTTTAGAGCTAGGTTTGTGAAAAACTTACTACAAGGTCAATGTCTCTGCAAACCAGGGGAAGCCAGTGTTTCTTTGTGTGACCAACTGAAATGAGAGCAGATCTAGCAGAACAGAGGTTAACTGCCTAATACGAAGATTGAAACAGGAAACTTTGACATTAACAACTACATTTCAATATGTGATAAAGAGAGACTGGCAAGAAAAGGGAAATAGGACACAGAGAAGAAAACGTGGATAAGTTAACTGATACTGGCATGTTTTTCGCACTTCATATGATAAATAGACTGCATGGAAATCAGGACTTTGCCTTCAAACGTTTGAGGTAGCTCTGGAATGTGTTAAGTACTCAACTAAGGAAACTGAGTCCAGCAGGCTGGTGACAGAGCGGACACTGTGGCACAAGACCACTCTCTGGCAAAATCGAAGTTCCTTCCTGCTCACCATTTTGCTGCTGCCTGTGCAAACCTGTCAGCAATATATATCCTTGATTGCTAAAGAAAAGCATCATGACTATGTAAACCACAGGAAAAGAGGAAGAAGTGAAGAGCACAGCTTCAAGAGAGAGAGCAGAGAGCTACTGATGTACCTGATATGTAGAAACAGGATTGAAATACAAATTATCAGAGCAATTTAATTTAATTACCGGATCTATTCCAAATGGATATGGATTTCCAGAGTAGACTCCCGGGACTGCTGGATCCAACTGCAGAACCGTATTGTCCAGAAGCACATCCTTACTACAAGAGAAAAGGCAAATGACCTTTGCAGTTTAATCTCACTGTATAAGCCTACAGTATATTTATGTGAGATGTGCTGAGGACTATCACATGATATCTGTCACCAACTCCAGCCTTTCTGTGAACTGTTATCCTGGGCGTGTGTGTGTGTGTGTGTGTGTGTGTGTGTGTAAATGGGTCCTATACAATGCAGTCTCCATGACACTGATATTTCTCTATGCATTGGTCCTGGACACCTGCAGATTTTTATGCATGTCAGTGCCTGAACAAACAGGCATGTTCCCAAGGAATCTAAATTTCCATTTCAATAGTGAGTTCATCTGTGTGTGTCAGACAAAACCTCTGATTCATTCATGACTGCATCCACAGCAGGGAGCTCTTCCCTTCCCCACACAGGCAGTTACTGTGTCTTTCTTTCAAAGCCTACGTGCTCCATTTGGTGTGTTTTCACTTACTTCCAAGTGCTATTTTTAAACATAGGGATAACATGCCAGGAAGAGCCAAAGATGTTGAACGATTTGGAGAAGCAGTCATTGTAGATGAAGCCAGTGTACATGGAGAATATGCCCATGAGCAGGATCAGGTAGCGCCCGCTGAAAAAGGTGTTCCAGATCTGCAGGGGGAGAAGGCAATACCAGTGACCAAAGTACCTGCAATCCCATCAAATGGTGGGCCTCAGTGAACAGGAGACATGACTGTACTAATCTATGTATATACAATTATTCATAGGAAACTTCAGGTCCCTTGGGCTCATCCAGGTCTCTGTGTAGAAGTAGGCAGAATTACTTGCCAAACCTCTGGCTCACAAGCATATTCCAAGGATGTCCACTCAGTCTTTGGTAGGCTGGATGCCCCCTTCATCAAATGGGGATGATGAGCCTTTTCCTACACACCCTGGAACTCACCTCATTAGTGCTTTTCTGGGCAAGAAGGCTCTTCTCATTAATGACCATCCAGAGTGCAAAGCCCAGCATGACAGCACCATGGCCACAATCTCCAAACATCACCGCAAATAAGAAGGGGAAGGTAATGATAGTGTATGGAGCTGCAGGAAGGAAAGAACAAGAAACTCAGATCCTCCTAAACAAAAAGACCTCAGCAGAGAAGCAGACCACCCCACCAGACCATTCCTCACAGGTGCTACCCTTAAAGGCCTCCATGATCCTTCTCCTATTCACCAGGCAGTCAGATCTACTGCAGAACTAGCTTTACCACTAGAAAGACTCTAGGTTTCTGTTCATTCTCAGTGCTCTCCTTGAGATGAGTGTTTCACATTTTTCTCAGGTCCTTTTTTTTTTTTTTTTTTGCCTCAGTACTATATGCTCACCTTATATTTGCCTTGTGAGCTTAGGTCTTTTCCTCAGTGCTGCTACCTCACCATTTGTTCCCCATCCTGTATTTGTGAAGTTCATTATTCCTGCCACAATCAATCACTGAAGACCAACAGCCAAATTCTTTGCCTGAGAAAATCCATGCCTATGCACCAAACAGTACCAATTTTTACCAGCAGAAAATATGGTTAACATTTCTCAGTCAGCAATGAGTACATGTTTAGCTCAAAGGCTTCACTTTGGCTCTAGCAAGCCACGTACAGGTAGCTGAGTGTTTCTCACCTGGGTTCATCTCCCTGTAGTTGCCCACACCATATGCATCCACAATGTTCTGAAATCCAGCTGTAAACTTGTTGGTCCTGTTGAAGGTGGGTGGTGCCATCCTGGTGTGTATGGCGGTCAGGATAGGGGCAATAGTAGAGCCACTGCGCTCCTGCAAACCAGGCGACAAGGACAGACAGACAAGGTGGCTAGCAGAAAGGAATCAGTCTCACAACACTAAGGTCTATGTCGAAACATGCACAGGCAGCAATATGAAAGCTGAGCTCAAGAGTGCTATATCTCAACCCTTTTCCTAATATCCAGATTTTTCCATTTTTTTGTGCTATTGATTTGTTCAGGGAAAGCTGCCAGAACTGCTGATTTTTGTGGGTCGATCACAAACCTGCTAAGATTTAATGCTGACCTTAAACTCCCTGAGGCCAAGTGAACATGCGACAACCTCAACTTTAATTAAAACAGAAAAAGGAGCCCAGCATTATGGTAAGAGACAGAAGTTTAAACATATGCTCAATGTATACACAATGCAGTTTGTGTGAGAGCTTCAGGGATACAAAATGTTGGTCTCTTACCATTCCCTGATGGAGAGCTCTCTTTATCCGGCCAGCATCAGCCAATGGGAACCAGATCTCTGCAATGACACACTGCTGGGTGACGTCGATGTTACAGCAATTCAGGATGTGGTAGATGGCCTTGATTTTCTTCACCTTGATCCCCCAGGACCACAGATTGGCTGCTGCCTCATGCAGCAGTCGCTGGCGGTGGGACTCGGTTTGTGTTATCACCTGTAAGCACAGCACAGGCAGCACTTGAGACAGGAAGGCACAGGTGGCATGATCTATTCAGCAGTTATTTGGGGAAGGCAGGTGGAAGAGGGCTGTGGAGAGGGAGTGATTTGTATGAATGTGTGGGGTTTTGTGGAGGGCAGTATGTGCAGGTCTGGACACAGGAGCACTTGACAGCAGGTCCACAGTGCTGTTTGCTAAGGACTCTCCCTGCATGGCCCTGAGCTTCTGTAAGCATAGAGGAGACCATTGGGAGTTACTGAGATGGGGGATTGGCTCCTTACCCAGTTGCTTACAGACTAGTCACATCTCACTATGTGCTCCCACCCTGCCATCTCCTGTAGGCAGCTCTGTGCCACAAACTTGGGGCACATCACATCCATGAGCGTGCCTGCGCTGCTAGAGCTACAGCTCACAGCCCTGGCGTGACCTACATGCATCATATGGCCACCACAGTGCTGCTGCATAAATGAGCAATGGAGATAACGTGTTAGGAAGATAACCTATGTGGTCTACAAGCACTGAAGAAGCCTAACTGCCCACGATGCTCAGGAATGAAAGTCAGTTTGGAAGCAGACTCGTGTGCAGACTTGGCATTCACAGGCATCCACAGAGGGGGTGCCAGCAGGATGTCACCTGCCAGATGGGCCACCTCAGGCAAACAGTGTCCATTCCCTCCTGCCTCAGGACCCACTGTCACGTGTGACAATATAAAGGTCTACTTGTAATTCTAGAACAGCAGTCTCAGCTTTCCATTGCTTCTGTGACAAGCGCCCCAAGATCAATTTCCTCAGTAAAGAAAACCTAATTCAAATATATATAAAAAAAAAATCTTTGGAGTCCTGTCTGAGCCTAGTATAGTGGTACTACACTTGTGACTGAACAACTTCATGAGCTGCTGAGGGAAACCATGCTGTAAGAGCTAGATGAAACCATTTTTGACAGCCCGCATAATAAGCTATTTGGTTATGATACCTGCAGCCTGCTGATGACCTTAGATCTCACCTCACAGCCCCGTATTATACGGTCTAAACCTCCGACTTCTGCACAGACAACAGCAGCAAGTGGTCTTTGAGCCCCTCACATGGGAGGCTGTCCCCCAGCAGCCCCCAGAGGGTGTAAATGGGCAGAGTAGAGCACAGCCACTGGCCTCTGCAACACATGAGGGTTTGCTCCTGGGCTGTTGGCTTCATCCCCAGCCCACAGCCAGCTCTGCACAGCCAGCTGCCAAAACAAGCCTGGGATCTGGCCATGGCCACAGGGTTTCAGAAAGGACAAATTTCTGGGCAGGTCCCACTTGCAGGGTTCAGAGCCTAGTAAAGCTGCTGCCACTTACTGTGTTTAAATCCTCAATCCTTGTGTTGACTCCATCAAGCATTTCTCGGCGCTCGGTGGCAGATTCTGGACAGGGATAGACTGTGGCACGAAATCTAGCCTCAGTAAGAGAGAAGTGAGAAACACCATTTATTTGACTGACTTTTTCTTCCTCTGGACTCTTCTCAGCTCAAAAGTGGGAAAACCGTACTTTATTCCTCACCCGGTAGTATACTCATCTTACATACTACAAAGTTGTGCCTGGTCCCCCAGAAAGATACAAAAAGGTACATTTATCTCTTCATGAGAAAAAGGATCCTTTCATGTGTTCTAGCTGAAAAAAACCACTCTGTGTCTCAGGTGCTACAAGGTATTCTACCTTGTATAGTATTATACAGCGGTCAGCACTAATACACAGGCACCTCCCTAAGGATGCTCTGCTAACGCCTGGGGAAGCTGCTTGAACTGCAAAAAGCCACAAAACCCCCACCCTGGCAGAGGCAGCCCTTGTAACACGGTAACCAACAGATGTCCCTCTTGCACTGAGGCTGGAAAACCACCACGTCCCTGTCTCTGCACTACCCTCTGGCAGTCACTGGGGGAAGGCATCAGCTGAGCTACTGCTGCACAGCAGGCAAACACCCTTCCTGCGTGCAGGCAGTGTAAGCAAATCGCCCTGTAAAAAAAAAAAAAAAAAAAAAAAATCAAACCAAACAACAACAAACCACTGTATTTCCAGGATAAAACAAAAGGAGAATGACCATACAGCCGGCTCGTGGCTTCTGGTCCGTCTGGTTGGCTAGACAGCTTGGGAGCAAGGGAAGGATGGGTGAAGTTTTTTAAACACCCGAGAGTGGTATCTGTTATGTCAGCTTACGTATGGCCAGGCCAGTATAAATGCTTTTATAAGCATACCCCCAATGCTGTATTTGGAGACTCAGCTGGTTTGTTTAATGTTGTATAATAAGGACTAATGTGGGCTTCTAACATGTGAGTGAAGGTCTTATCTCCATGCAAGCGTTGTATACTGCTTCATCTATAGTATTCAACATGACACACTCCACTGCAGTGTTGTAAAGCCACTATATGAACCCAACACAGCCAATTAGAAATAAATAAGTTGCATGTCTCTCTGAAAAGTGTACACCTACCTGTCCTGCCTGCAAAACAAGTCCCAGAGTGCCTGTACTTCATGCACAAAGAGCAGGCACAAGGAGCTCCCACTGGGAACTCGCAGATCACAAGGTGCGCTGCTGCAAGGCTCTGCGCCAACAAGCTCTAACTGAGCTGAGGTGCTGCAGTAATTAAAATAGCAGAGATCCCTCCATTCTTTCAGTTTTTTTCAGTGATATTTAGTGCTTGTGTCAGCCCTGCCACTTCAAGGGCATTATAAATGTCGTTCTTCAATATTGCCCCAACAGGTCTGCAGGAAGAGATCACTCCTCTTTCTTTACAGAGTGGAGGTCTTCTGCCCACCTAAGACAACACACTTCCACCATCCTGCAGTGGAGTTATGCTGAGCTAAGGTTGCTGAAAGGCTGGCTTTCTGCACGTGAGATGAATTAAAAGATGTAACAGGGTCATAGGGGTCTATCCCTGTTTAAGAGAGAAAAACATGCATGCTCTGTGTACAGATAAGCATCATGTTCTGGCTTTGGCTGAGCACAGAACATATCACCACCTGCTCTCCAAAATCAGTTCCAGCACACACACAAGTAAGGACAGTTGCAAATTGAACAAAACATGGAGCAGTTTCCTAGAGATCAGCCGAGAGCTGTGTGTAATGACAGCACGTGCTCTTCAGCTAAAGTTCCCTTTCCAGAATTAAATCTCTCCTCACTCAACACCTGGTATTGGTTTCCGAAGGTTATTCACCCTACCTAATTATTTCCATCTTCTTATTCTTCACAGCTCTTAGTTCATCTTTAATAAGGATTTTTAATCAAACTTGAAAGCTTATTCCTCCATGCTGTACAGTTCCCCAGTTTCCAATAACGTTATTGCAGCAGTGTTGCTTTGATCTTTTAACAGCCATTTTGCATACTGAGTATCAGCTTTGCCCTAATGGCACAGACATCTCTGAAAGCTCCAGGAGAATTCAGCAGGGAATCCTTACATTGATAAACCCAGTTTAGTATTCACATTAGCACTGAGGCAGCTGCAAGAAAAGGAGGAAAAGAAAAATTCTTACATTTTCCTCCTCCCTGCTCCCTCTACACCTTTCACTAATAAATCTGTGCATGGACTTAATGCTCATGAAATTGGCAGACTAATGTTACCAATTAGAGTCAAGCAGGGACTACAAGCGTAACCGGAGGCACACTGCTCTGCAAACAAATCTTAGCCTTCCTTGCAGGAGACTGGCTCACACCAGTCCCATGATTTTTGCAGGATATTTACTTGTCATGAATGATGACTTAGTGCTAAGCAGAAATGTTCTGCTGGGGCTGGAATGACACTGCCATCTGCTTTAGGTATAGTTAACCCTGCCTTAAAGATGGACCAGCCCAAAATGTCTTGATCTGTGTACCAGGGACGGCTGATAGCCCACAGAGCACAAAAGGAGGGTTTAATGGGATTTAATGGGATTAATACATTGGAAAATCTGCCACTCAGCAAAACATCCATATATACGTGCGTATTAGCAAGCAAAAAATTTGAAAGGGAGGAAGAAAAGACATAAAGGACAATTTCAGGTATAGCCTGATTAGCTGGCAAGAAACAAAAACCAGTGCGCTAGTACTGCAAAGGACATCCTGTGAATTTGTCTTAGGTAGGTATGTTTTCCTTCAGTTACAAGAGGCTGAGAGAAACCAGTCTAAATTCCTTTCTATAAACCTACCACCACATACGTGCCACCGGCTCATAACAACTTTGCACATCATGGCCCACCCTGCAGGGATCTGCTCACACTTCCAGTGCTACCTGGCCCCATGCTCCTGGCTGTACCCCGCTGCAGAAGGCTGTGCCTCTGGTTTGGAAGATTCTGGGTTCAATCAATTACAAAAATGCTGACAGGGATCTCATTGCCTCTTCTTTTACTCACACCCCAGAAAAAAAGTATTGGACTTTTGATTGTGGGGAATTTAAAATGCTGAAGGGGAAAAAAATTCCTTCAAAATGAAGCACCTGCAGCACTCAGTGGACAGCCCCAGCCAACTCTGAATGTATGGCCTGGCAACGTGCAAGGCCATTGGCACAGGGCAAAGGCAATGGGAAGCATTCACCACTGGCAACTGCCCATGAGTGCAGAAGGGGAGAGGGGTACTGAACAGCATCTAAAAAGCAGACAAAAAAGTGGGACGTAAGCAGGTAACTGTAATCGAGAAAGAGAATGGAACTTGTTGAAAGCTCAAAGACCACCGGCAGAAGCAGACCAATCCTGCACAGTGGTGATGGCAAAACTTCCTCCATCTCTGAGGTTCAGGATCAGAAATCAGTGACTGATACCTAGGGGTCTTCCCCCAGCTGTCCATGCTCCCATGGCTGCTTTATAGAGGGAGATGCCCACCTCAGAATGGCTGAATTGCCCTCAGGATGAGTATTGCCCCCCACTGCCTATGGAAGGCATCTTGGAGGGCCCCATTTCTAATGCAGGAATTGCTAATAGTCCCCAAGGGTAGGTCACTTCATGGGATAGAAGTCAGTTCTCCCAGCTGGATGAACTGACCTTCCTGCTTTTATTCTGATTAAAGGCAAGATGTAAGGAAAGACCTGCCCTGAGTGCACATGTTGGGTAAGAGCAATTGCTCACCCCTTCCCTGCAACCTTCTGCAGCCTGCAGGTGCTTGGCTGGCCCCGCTTGGCCGAGGGGTTATACCTGAAATGGATTTGGTGACAGCAGACAGATCCCCTCGTCAAATCTGATTTACACTGCAACAAAGCCCATCGGTCATCAGCATTATGAGAGAGTAACAAAATATTCAACCTGAATTATCTTTTCAAGATGCTTAACAGGGTGGAAATAAGTCAGGCTGTATGAAGCTTTCATTTCTCTTCTGGGCTCTGTCTCTGATTATACAGATACTGCCCAAAGGCCTTGGGAAAGGGTTGAATAAACTACAGCATCATCTTTTTATGCTGAAATGCAGGAAGGCTTGAGAGCAGGTCAGGCATTACCACGTTCCCAGTGCCTAAGTTGTAATACCTGTTGGCGGCCCTGATTTTCAGGGGAAGGATTCCGCGTATTTCTTAAAAAACAGTCCCTTTTAAGATGTACCAAGTTAAAAAGCTAGCAATGGAAGCTCCCAAGATCTTTAAGTCACTTTGGAAAATTTAGGACCTCAATTTCCAAGTGCCAAGGTGACAGATATCTTTCATGATTAGGAGCAGCAGAGCTAAGGAGCAGAAGGGAGCTCAGTGGCAGAGCTGACAGCTGGGGCGCGGAGATCTAATCTCTGGCTCCAAATTCAGCCAGCCCAAGCTGACAGGTGAACACCTCCATGGGAGTCACCGTGGCTTGCCCACAGGCCTGCCTTACCCATCACAGATCTTCTTGATTTTTTGTTTAAGCTGCTCTCCTTGATAGAAGATAATGAACACATTCTTCTTCACTTCTTCTCTCTGTAATGCAATTCAAGCAGAATTTAAAGCACCCAGAGCAAAGAGTCCAGTGCAGAAAAAGTGGTGGGGTTTTTTTTTGGCAGCCTCTTCATGGGGTCGTTCTTTCCCTCCGTGGTCAGCCCTGGGTGAGGACAGCCACAGCCCAGCTCCCCGGTGGTTCCTGTAACACAGCCACCCTGCTAGGGCTCACATGCGCCTCAACCAGACAGGACAAAGAAGCCACCTTGATAATGGCAAAAGGGGAAAGTAATGTCAAAAAAATCTTCTCCCATCCTCAAACTTTCCCACCTTTCTTCTGCAGGCTACCTTCAGACACACAGCTCTGGGGAGGCAGCCGGTGCTGCAGCATGGCCAGGGCACCAGTTTGGTTTCTGCAGTCGCAGGCATGCACGAGGAGCAGCGTGAAGCAAAAACAGGTTGGCACCTACCGTCACAGGGTCCTCCAGGGGGGTGTCCATTTCGGTGTACCTCAGGTAGATGTTCCCCCTGCAGGCTCGCCACAGTAAACGCTCAAAGGGTATCATCCTTTCCCTCTTTATTACCCCTGCTGTGAATCTGAGCAGAGTTAAAAGATAAATAAATTACAAGCCCATTCTAAGTCTTTTGGGACTTAGAAGTTTACAATCCCTTGTGACACACAAGTATACAATCTCTTGTTTTCCAGTCCATGATTGCCAGGGCTCTGCTGCTGTTGTAGGTGCTTCTAGGAAAGACCTTGCTCAAGCCTGGCTCTTATCTCAATCTACTGACTTTATCCTGTTGTTTTTTCTTCAAAACATTGTAGGTCCTCCCCAGAACAACAGTAAAAAGAAGAGACAATTCTGGTTAGAAATGGAGGAGCAGTTTGATGCTTAAAGTCACACAAAGAGAGAGTGCCTGAATGACAGACGTAACAGGTAGCAGTTCTGAAACGGTGGTTTATCTTTACTCCCTCTTGTTTTCCCTTTCCCAGAAAGCACCAGATTGCACCTTTGAAGTGCATCGTGACATGTTGGTATACACCCAACGAGGCAAGCCCTCTGCAGGCGTATGCTTTGCTCATACAAGAGTTGAAGAGGACTTCAGAAATATCAGCACAAGCAGCTAAAACCACCAGTCTGGGAGAACACCATCAGCGAGTTTAACCACACCTAACTGATGTAAATACAAGGGAAAGCTGTTTGAGTCTATGCTTGCTGCTGAATTACCAGTGGTATTATGCTCAGTGGTGTTTCTGCTTCGTTAACTCTCAACTTCAGTGCCACTTTCTGTTGCAGACAAAGCCCAGTGCAAGCAATCCCATGGTTTTTGCTGTGGTTAGATATCCATCACTGAGGACCAGGCTAGTAGCCAGCTGCCTGAGTCCAGACGCCACAGGTAAGATGTTGTAAGATAACAATTTTCAGCTAATACCTACAAAAGGCTCACTGGAATTGGTGGACTGGAAGTAAAAATCCATTTGTCCCACTGATCCAGAACCTGACCACAGTTTTGATGAAAATGGTTAACTGAACTGAAAGGAGGTT